AGTTCCCCTCTACAGTGAAGGTTAGGTGCCACCAAGAAATGGTTCTGTCTGCAATTGTTTTTATTTGGCATTTGTACTTCTATCTGTAGAATGAAGATGATGGTAAAATATTAAGAGTAGAGAAAAAAAAATAAATAGAAGAAGCCAGTGGTAGCTACTCCATGATATAGCCACTGAATTTAGGAAAGAGACAGAAAAAGAGCTCTAGAAACACTTTGAAAAAAGAGCTGTCAGGCACCAAATTACATCCTTAAACAATGCCGGAAATGCTCTGCCCCCTGAAAGTATTGGGGAGTGACTTTTTCAGCCTCTTTGGAGGGAAAAATAGGGATAAAATGTCTATCAGCTGGGCAAAAAGTTCATGTTTGTCATCTGTAGAAAAAAAATAATAATAAACCACTGAATCAGTATTCAACTTGTCCAGAAACTTCTCTCTCATCTCTCATCTCCGGATGTCCATCTCACCCTCATGCCGTGACTCTGGAGCTAAGACATGTGCATGAGCTTACAGTCACTGTCCGGGGATACCCCTTCTTTTGTGTACCCAACTTACAAGACACCTGCAGTCTGGAAATTACAATGGGCGGCAGCTTCTATAAAGGGCAGGCAAATAAGCAGAAGGAAGGATGGATGAACAGTATAGAACTGTGTTCTAAGCAATCAAAATGAACGTTACAGACATCAAGCCCAAGCCCAGGATTTCTGAGAGAATATCCACCTTTTCTTTGGTTCTGTAGCAATTTCAACTCTCTATTCCAACACCTGTAGACCAAAAGGGAAGTTTAACTATCAACACAACCTACACAAAATGACGGAGGGAAAGAATACCAAAGCAAAGAAAATTCAGCTACAGACATAAGTGTACGGAATAGTTGGATAGCAATCTAAAATATTACCCTCCACATATTTCTTCTGAGAACTGTTTAATATAGTAAATCTTCCATCACTCTATTTATTCCAAGAATCTAAGACGTATTGCTCAAGGGAGGGAAAATGAAAATATTGAAATATCAAAGAGTAAAATGTGTGGCTTTTGAGGTCTGGAGTAGACACAGGCCATAATCTTCAAAGCCATAAGATTATAAACTCTACGCATCTGGGAGAGGAAAATACTTTAAAATATTCAAAAACTTGGCTTGGAAAATTGAAAGACCCAGACTGGAATAAAACAGCTTATTCAAGAACAACAAGTTGGAATAAGAATTGTAATAATGTTGAATTAGCTCCTACTGGAAGAAGTAAAAAATCTGAAGAGCTGATAAGAGAAATGCCTAGTCCTGGATGCAAGGGCCAACACCGCCCCTCCCCCAGGGCGTGAGTCGCCTAGTTGATGGGTGGGGTGGGGTGTGGAAATACTTGGTAATAGAAATTTAAGACAGGTCTAGAATTACCAGAGCAGAGGAGATGATGTTTAAGTTTTCCAGAATGTAGCTCCTGATCTTGCAAGCCTTGTAATGGAGTTATGTGTCCCCCACTCGGACCTGAGTTGTACTGGCAGCAAATGGGAGAGGTCAACCACCGATAGGCTCACTGATTGACATACTAGACTAGCGTATCTGTGAGTCCCTACTGCCACAGGGATCAGAGAGACCTGAGAATGAACCAAAGGACCCAATGGAATCCAAGTCTGGATGGAGAGGTTGCCAATGATATCAGAAACAGCTAGCTACCTACTAAAAATCTTACTTCACTATGGAGAGGTGATGGCCTCATTTCCCAGCGTCTTTGGCATATAGGTATGGCAATATGTCTAGTTATTGCCGATGGACAATGAGCAAAAGTGATTAAAAGGCTGGAGTACGTTCCCTATATGATTTCCCCCTTCTTTCAGCTAGAAGACAAGACTCCGAGGTCCTAAAGTCCTGGTTTCTGCATCCAGTTTGCCAACCATAATGAAATCACAACGCATACCTAGACTATATTAAATGTTCACAGGAAATAGTAATATCAGTAGAACACATCATAATGAACTTTGAAGGGTGTATTTGGGATATCATAGATTTTTGAAGAAAACATAATGTTGTCCCAGGACATTGAGCAAACTACTATTATTACATTGTTTAGCCCTAACTACTAAATAAAAGGAACCATTAGATATTTCTTTTGGTCTTCAGCTCCAAGAATGTATTACTGAGACTCCGACACTGTGAACCAAGAAAGTTTGGGAACCTCTGCCTGAGGGAATCATGGAACCACAAGATGAAAGGAGGCAGGGTTTCTAAATTTCTAAATGAAGGAAAGCCACAAACATATTAAGAACTCCCACACTGAGCAGAGATATGAGCCAGACATAAACTTCTGTTGTATTAACCCACTGAACTTTTGGGATTTATTTGTAATAGTAGCTAGTATTACCCTAACTAATTCATGGAGTATTTAAGAATCTAGACCCAAGGCCAAGAACCACAGATAAAGGACCAGAAGAGATAAATCTCAAGGGAGGCCACCAGGCCAAGAGGACAAATCACATGGTAGATGCCTCTTCTCCAGTACCAGGTCAATACACAAGCCCCCTGAAACCAAAATCAATGTCAAGGAAATGGGGGAAGGATACTAAGGACTTAGCCCAAATGAGGCTGAGGAACCTAAAATCTGACATCTTAAAATCTCTACCATTAGTGGATAAGTGAATGCTAAGTATACCTTTTGAAAAAGAAATAAATTTATAGTATACACATTTTATTCTGAAACTAACATTTTGAATCCATCATAGATATGTTACAGCAAGGAAAGAAATACAGAGGCTACTGTCTCTGTTTCTATAACTGGTCACTCAGCTATCGCCTGGGGCCAACATCTCAGCTGGTAGGGGTTGTGTGTCTTTTGGGGTGAAGAGCCTCAGTCCCTTAGTCAGCCTAGGTGAGGGGACAGCAAACTCATTAATCATTTCAGTAGGACATGGTGAGAGACCAGGAACTCCCCTGGGCTCCTTCTACCACTGCCCCCTATTACTGTGTAGCTGTATTTCCATTTCATTGTCAGGCTCAATCCCTCTAACCAGCACTATAATCCTATTCATTCTGCTCCCCACCCTTTTATCTTCCCAAAGAAGTCCAGTGCAGACCAGGCAGCAATTTCAAATTCCAATTCAATGAAACTATCATTAGGTCTCTTGACGGGAACATGCCTCTTCCCTTGCTCACGGAAACTTCTAAACCATTGGAGTCCAGATCCATGAAAAAGTAGTACCAGGAATAAGGTAATGAATGGATGGTAAGCAGCCCTAAACCACACATGTCTGCTAGAAAAGTGATTAAAATCATTCTACAGTCCACATCTTCTGGGGTCCTCCTCCCCTCAGCTTTGGTGTGAGTTTTGCTGTTCATTTCCCTCCCAGATATATAAACCCCACCAATTTAAAGAAGGCGAGATTTATCATCATCCAATCCGGTGATTCTCAACTGAGGACAATTTTGCCCCTTAGGGAAACCTTTGGTAGTGTCTGAAGTCATTTGAAATAGTCACAACTTGGAGGGAGGGGTGATAACTGGCATTTAGTGGCTACTGGCCAGGGGATGCCCAGGAACCCTCCCCCCCAACAACAAAAATTTGTATGATCCAAAATGTTACAATGCTGAGAATGAGAAACCCTGATCAAATTAATTTATTTGCATAATTTGCTTCCCCCTCTAGAATGCAAGCTTTGTGAGAGCAGGGGCTCTGTCTGTCTTGTTTATTACTCTATGTCTGGAATGTGGAAGTGAACAAACATTTGATGACCACGTAAGAGATGAGTAGGTGCCTCATAGCTCACATCAGGTATTTTTAGATACATGCTCATATCCAAAAACTTGGCTCCTTGGGTTGGAAGCGTTAGTAATGGTAGAAGTTAGCATGACTTAAACATCTGGGGTGGCACAACTTCTTTGAATGTCCTAAGGTAGGTCTCTTCCCAACATGGCACAACAAGAATGCTCATAATTTTCCTTCACTTTAATTTTCTAACTCGAGTAAAATGTGCAGTCTTTACAGTGTCCTCAATTCCTTCATCCATTAAGTGATATTATTATCTGGACACTGTACTAGGTGCTGTCACCAAACAAAATGATGACTTGGGACTTGTGTTCAATAATTTGCACAGAGATTTGATATAATTGTTCTAGATTTATTTCTAACAGTTATAAATCTATTTCCCCTCTAGGAAAAGTGTTTCTCTGCCTCCCTTCCCATCTTCCCTTAACACCTCAGTTAAGCCTGGAAGAAAGACCAGGAGAGAAGAGTGGGGTGCCTTGCCCCCCAGCTCTGGAGTAGAGACTTGTCCCATCCTGGGTTTCCACACGGTACCTTCGCCATAGCTCTATGACAGCACTAATGGCCACTTCTCAGCACCTTTTTATTTATATGGCTTTGTCCTTCTCGCCAGCAGTAGGTCAAGCTCTTGGTGGGTCTTTTTATCCCAGGCACCAGGCACGCAAGATGGGCTCAATAAATGGTTATTGAAAAAATAAAATGCTTTTTGCCTACTTCACAATGTCACCTAGGGCACCCTTTGCCAACTTCACAATGTCACTCAAGGCATACTTTTGCCTACTTCACAATGTCACCCTACCTGGCACAGAAATGGGGACTTCCCCAGGGGCTCAGAAATAGATCTAGTTTCAATCCCGTCTGAATCACAGTCTAGTGGCGGCTCCAGCCAATGAAGAGAAAAGCAAAGGTTGGGAAGTCTTGGGCCCCAGCAAATGGGTGTAGGTTAAACAGCCTGAGCTGGAAGAGCAGTGATCCCTGAGGAGTACGGGCCCATCCAAGACACTGCAGAACGGCCCAGAACCGGAGCTGCGTGTAGGCAGGGGGCATGCATGTCACCGCTGCTCAGGGTGCCTCATCCCCGCCGCTGCAGACGAGTGGCCGAGAGGCCGACCCCGGCGACAGAGGCTGGCGGTGTTGACCTGATCGTGTCTGTTCAAGCCTTGGGCCCCAAAACTGCCCTACGAGCGCAGAGAAAGCGGCCGGGAGCCTCGTCAGGTCCCAAAAGCGCAGCCGGGGAACTTTCTCAGCCCAGCCCACAGGGTGCTAGAGGGTCAGAAAGGACCCGCCTTTGCCAGCGGGGCAAAGGTTGCTCCCGAGGCCACGTGAGGCTTCGTCGCCCCTAAAAGCCCCCACCCGGCAGGACTAATGGAAGAGTAAGGACGCCCCGACCTCGGAGACGCGGCGCCCCGCTGCCGGCTCCAGAGCCGCTCCAGCACCAGCTGCCTCGTCCCACCCGGGGCAGGTCGCGGCCGCCGAGCCATGCCCCGCCGCAGCCGGGACCTCGCGCTGCTCACGTCGCCCGCCCCGCCGCCCCTGCTGCCGCTGCTGCTGCTGGTGGTGGCCGCCGCGGTGCCGCCGAGCCTGGCAGGTGAGCGGTGCGCGCCCACAGGGCCCCCTGGGAGGGGGAGTCCGCAGACACGCGGCCCTGGGCGTCCGCCTGGCCCGCGCTGCGCCCGCCCGCCGCTCCGTGCGCTCCCGCCCGCGCCCCGACTCGGCCAAGTTGACCGCCAGGCGGTGACTGGGTTCTGGGTGGACGCGGAGGGCTGGAGGCACGACCCCAGCTCGCTCCAGGGCCGCCGGAGCTCAGAGATGGACTCCGGGAGGCGAACTTCAGAAGTGGGGTCTGGAGGCTTGGCGAACAAATCAGTGCGCTCCGGCGCGGCTCTTGGCTGGCTGAGCCTCGACTGGTCCCCCAAAGCGCAGCCAAAGGACATCTAAATATATTTATTCACATCATAGAGGTATGATTCCGGGCTGTCAGGTGTTTTTGTTTTTTGGTTTCGTTCTTTTTTTTTTTTTTTTTTTTTTTTCCCCTGAACTACCCATGACTTTGGTTTAAAGTAAGTGCAGTCTGGTATTGTCAGCTTGATAGGGGCCAGGCAGCGTGCTAAAGGGCTTTTCATACAGTGCTTACTAGAACTCTAAATAGGAGTGTTACCCTCAGTCTACAGACCATTCGAAATTGAGAGAAATTGAGGAGCTTGGGTTAAGATACACCGCAAGCGAAGGCAGAGCTGAATTGCCCCACAGTATTTACTTAACTACTCCCCTCTTCCTACAACAGGTTTTATCCCTACCAAAAAAAAAAAGTACCGGATTTGTCAGTTTTCTTCCCGATGGATAAGACTAAAATTAACCAAAGAAACTCGAAAGACTTCAAAAGTAATCTTAAGAGAGGATTAAGTTTGCTTTACTTCCAAGCCCTTTTCTGTGCTGACCTTGTGCAAGAATAGGGTGGTATAGGGTGGGGTTTCGGAGAGGGAACCCTTTCCCAAATGAGTGTACAGATTTACTACATCACCTTCCATCCACAAGAAACCGCAATTAGCAGATTTCACGGCCTTTGCTTTTGCAGCTTGCCCTCTTAACCACTCTTAAATCTTTCTAGACTTAAACTGCCTGGGCCTCTGGGATCAGAAGGCATACACCCCTAGGCTCCTGACTGTTGATTTATGTGCCCCATTCTGTTCCTTACCTGCACTGTGGAGGAGGCATTCCAGCCACCCTATGAGCCCAGACAACCTGCTCCTTCAGGCATACCTGGAACAGGCTAAAAGTGCTCCAGAAATGGAAATGGCTTCTTGTGTCTGGAATGCTGAGTGAAACCCTTCTAACTTCTCTGTTCTTTTGAATTGTGTGGATTGTTTAAAGTGTTCCTTAGATGGAGGGCAGTCTGAGGAGTGAGGTGGAGATACTGTTTTTCTGAAGATGAGGCACTGTTTATTCAAGAAGAGAACCCCTGGCAAGAAACAGCTTCTTAAACTGACTTCCCCAGATAGATACTCAGCTGAGGTCTGGCCAGGATGGTCAGGAGTCAAGGCAAAGACTGAGGGCATTTCTGTGGCCAGTGATCCTGACAGCACGGGGCCTGGCAATCCAAAGAAGACTTCTTATCATGGCCTGAGGAACAGCTGGTGAAACCCACGCCCACTCTTTCAAACAGATGTGAACCTTGTTTCCTTTGTTGCATCCAAACCAACCTGCTTTCCCGTGTAAATTTTTGGCTCTTTGTTTTACCCTTCTACTAGACTGCCCGGCACATGCGGGCAGAGAACAGAGCCTTTGCTACCTCTTTCTTGTCACGTTTTCTCTGAAGTGCCCAGCTCAGTACTCTGACTTTAATGGGTACCCAACACACACCAAAGGGATTGCATTTTCATCTTCCTGGAATGATCTTTATATCTACCAATGTGCACCTGTTAATCCAAAAATAACTTTGCAGATTCATTATTCCAGAAATATTGGCCAACAATTGCACATTCCTCTTAGCCTGTCTTCCAAACTAGTGTGGACTTCAGTCATATAATAGCATTGCCTTTATCCTTCCAGACTGGAGAGACCCATATTTGTTTCTGTAATTTTTCTTGGTGGTGTGTATAGTGAAGTCACACTAGAAAAGAGACGGGTTGGTTACTCAGAGATTTATAAGGTGCCCTGTGCCTTGGTAAAACTTGTTCCAAATCTGGCCCCTGGACTTGCAGGACTAGATTTGAGAAATGCATTCCTTCCCATGCTCCAGAGCCAATCAGATACAAAGAAGCTGATTCACCCTGACAGATACCAAAGTCTATTCACCAAAACACCCATAATGGATTTTTAGCAGATGGGACCTTTGCATAGCCTCCCCGGCCACTCTCTTGTAATCAGATTACACTAGAAAGATCCTCTCAGGGATTCTCAGGCTGGTTGCCTGCTGGATTTGCTTCCCAGGAGGGCTGATGCTTCAGTTAGCCTCTGGGTGCTCGTACTGGAGCTCACCTAGCACAGTTGGCCCTTGCCTCTGGGACACTGCTTTTTCCATGCTTCCATGGCTCACCAGTGCCCGCTGGAGACTAACACATTGCCTCTCTGGATAGGCCAGTACTTTTTTATTTTATTTTATTTATTTAATATATTTTTAAAGATTTTATTTATTTATTTGGCAGAGAGAGAGATCACAAGTAGGCAGAGAGAGGCAGAGAGAGGAAGGGAAGCGGGCTCCCTGCCTAGCAGAGAGCCCGATGTGGGGCTCAGTCCCAGGACCCTGGGATCATGACCTGAGCCGAAGGCAGAGGCTTTAACCCACGGAGCCACCCAGGCGCCCCAGGCCAGTACTTTTATGTGGTTGTGGAGAAGTTTGCCAATCTGGGAGTTGTTCAGGCTCCTAAAGGTGACTTGGTAGACCTTTGGTGGAGGCTGTTCTCAGTTGATCCTTTGATTCAGAGGGCTTTCTGATCTCTAGGTTCACTTGAGGTGGTGGCTCATTCCTTTTGTGGCAGTTCATTTTTGCAAGTTTAATACTAGAGAGGTAGTAGGGAATTCCAGAAACAGGAAGCACGGAGCCTAACTGCCTGCATTTGAATCCTGGTTCCAGTACTTACTGTGCGACCTTCAGCCAGTTATCTATCTCTACACCTCAGTTCCCTCATCTGTTAAACGGGGACTGGAGTATCTGCCTCCTAGGGTGTGGAACAGGGCCTTGTATACAGTAGGGGCTGCATAATTGAGTGACCGTTATTATTGGCCGTTGGAGTTGCTTTTTCCCTGGAAAGGCAGGACAGATCTTTGGATAAGGCAACCAGAACCACAGCCAATAATCTATGTGCTGTGAGGTAATAGCTTGTTATAAAAGCAGGGTTTTTCTTAATCGTGGCCCAGCGTTGCATGGACTTGGAGCATACAGGGGCACGTTGGGCGAGTGCTTCAGGAAACAGCGAGCAGAGCCCGAGGTAGCTTTCCTGGGTTACCACTGATTGGTTGCCATCACCTTGATTTTTCTAAGTGCCATTTTATCAACCATGCCTGCTGTAGCATTTCCCAGCTCTTCTCCATCTTTCTGAGCCCCACTAAATCTTCCTACAGCTCATCCCCACTGTCTTAACGTTTCAGATCCAAAAGAAGTCGGTGCTGTCGGTAAACCCAAACATTTTTTTCGTGCTTTCTATAAGTTTGTTATACAAGCTAAGTTCCAGAAGAATTTCTGCGGAAGTGCCCATTCCTCTTTATTGTTAAAATTTGTTTCCTAGTCCTTCTGGAAATATTAATCTGATGGCAAAGATCAAAATCTTTCTCCAGAAGAAAATGTTTAAAATATCCTCCCCTTCAGTCTTTAAATTGAGATGGAACATTTTATTTATTTTTTATTTTTTTAATTTTTTTTTTTTTTGTAGCTGTAAAATGACCTGAGGAGATAGAACATTTTAGACACATTTTTCATAATAGGTAAACTGCAAATCACGTGAACTTCAGCTTGGAACTTCTAACATGCAGAACAGAAATTATTGTTTTCACACATTTTTAGGCATTATTTTAATTTTTGTCACCTGTTATCTTTTGGGTTTTTTAAAAAAATTCTAAATTATCAAGGATTAACTCTCGAGTTAGCAAGATAGGTAGCAGCACCAAAAATGGAATGACTCCAAAGGATTTATCTTATTCAGCATTTTAAGTTTTTTTAAAATGCATTTATGCTTTGTCTTTTTTTTTTTTAATAGAGTAAGTTCCAGTTGCTCCTACAAGTTCTATTTCACAATCACTTGAAAATTTCACTCTAAGATGTGGCTAGAAAATTTATTAGTGTTTTTATGTTGTTTCTTTGCACTATGGCAAAACAGGAACTTACTCCGTGGGGTAAAGGAAACTAAGAGAGGTAGTGAAAATATGAGGAAACTTTGATCTAAAACTTGAACCTCTGTCTGCACAAACAATACCATATTACAATCTTCCAATGGGAAATTGTGAAACCTCTTGATTCAGAGCTTGCTTTGAAGTGTGTCCGCTAGCCTTGCAAATGAGTTACCAGCCCAGCAGGTGAGGTAATGGCGAGTTAATTCAAACCAGCATTTACACATCTAAGATTCCAAAATTAGAGCCCACACCCCGAAATCAAGAATGAATAGACAGAGACTCAATACCAGTCTGTCTCCTCCCCAGGCGGTGTGGAAGTTTGGGATGTAGGCAAGAAAACACTGTTCACCCCAAAGGAGTCAATACAATGAAAAAACAGATGCCACCCCCTGACTCTCAAGGAGCTTGTAACTAAATTTTTGAACCACATACATACAAATATATATAACTAAAGAGTGATGTAGATGAAGAGTGAGCTAACAGCGCCAAATGAGGGGCAAAGTTGACTTTCTGTTGACAGGACTTTTAGCAAAAACTCTGGTTGAAGCTAGCAGTGTAGACAGAATAGGTTCGTTCTGAGGGGATGAAGGAAAGGGATCTTTCCAGATCCAAGTAAATCTCCAGGATTTTTCTGTATTAGCACTTTGTTTCTTTGACACTGTTTTTTTAAAGCGGTATCCCTTTCTGCTTACCTAATATATTGGACAGAATATGCCTCCCACCTCACATCCCCTCACTGCTATCTGTGCGAGCTTCAGCTGC